GAAGGGAGGGAGAGGTCTCGTAGACCATCTCTCAGTGGCTGTAGGCTACGTTTCGTGGTTGTAGGCCATTTTTCCCGTTTGGAGCCCAGTTTTCGGTTTTCGGAGCCGTCAGCCGTGTGCCTCGGTTCGGGACCGCTTAACTACCTCTGTTTGCTCTGGTTTTTGGCACACGCCTTATTTCCTCCCTTTAGAGGGACACTGTGGCCCAGGAGGCCACCTTCGTGGTCATACGCCACTTCCGGTGCCTAACAGCCTGCTCTTTGGGCCCCAAACCGCTCGTTTTGGCCCCCGAACCTTCGTTTTGCATCCGTTTTAGTCGATTTTTGGTAGAGACCCTATTTTCATTGTTTGGAAGGTGGTAGGATGGTGGCCGGCCACCTTTTCCCCTAAAAAACCGATTTTCTCATTTTCTCTCTCCAAAAGCCGATTTTTCTGACAAAAAGCTGGTTTTTCTCACTTTTGAGCCACATTTTTTGGCTTTTCATACCACCATTGTGATCTACTCATCTGGGAGGCCACCAATATGGTAGGCCGACCAGTTTTCTCTTCTTCACCCTTTTGAACCTTGCTTGAAAGCTAGCTTTTCTCTCTCATAGGTCACATTTTCTGGTTTTTCTCTACATAACTGTGTTGCACTCATCTGGGAGGCCGGCCAGAAAATTTTGTTGACCCTTTTGACCCCTGGTCGGCCGACCAAGGGGGGTGGCCAGCCGGCCACTTGAACTGGCCGGCCTGCTTCTTGCTTTTTGCTTTTTCTGAGTGTAGTCCAGCTGTGCCAGCTGGAGACCATTTGGTGTATCCTCCATACATGTGTATGGAGGATACTTGGGACCTTTTTGGATATTTTGGAACCTCTCCTCTATAAAAGAGAGGCTTGGCTTCATATCATGGGGTTGAACATTTTTGCTTAAGGCATATAACCTCCTTCCTCCATTGTCACTATTCCAAGCTCCAAAAACCCTAATTTTCTTGGTCAATTTACACTACAACCCTTAGCACCACACCTCCATCATCCATTCCAGCACTTTGGAAGTTATTTGCAGAGGTTGAAAGCTCACCAACTTGATCCAAAAGCTGCTGGAGGTCGGCTCTTAAAGGGTAAGTGTCTATTTCCGTTAAACTTGTATTTTTTTGCTTCATTACTTAGCTTCACTTTCAAGTATTTCTGGGCTTTGTCATACACCTTGGAAGTCATTTGCAGAGGTTGAAAGCTCACCAACTTGGTCCAAAAGCTGCTGGAGGTCGGCTCTTCAAGGGTAAGTGTCTATTTCCCTTAAACTTGCATTTTCTTGCTTCATTACTTAGCTTCACTTGCAAGTATTTATGGGATTTGTAATAAACTAGAAAGTGTCATATTTTGAGCTCCTCTTCAACTTTGTTTAAGGTCACTTTTCTGTTTGAGGTCATCTACTTCCCCTTACCCTCTATCTCTCTTTTAGGGCTATTTTTGCATCATACTTTAGCCTTACTTGTGAACGTTTTCAAGATTTGTTATAAACTGGAAAAATCCTTGTTTTGACCTCCTCTTTAAGTTTTCTTGAGGTCACTTTTTTGTTTGGAGTCATCTCCTTCCTTGCATGCTTCATTCCTTCATATTTAGGGCTATACATTAGAGCATTTGCATTGGAGTTGTTTTGGCCTCTTAGCCACTGAAATCCAAGGGATCTTCAGTGGCTTTGATGAGGTTTTGAGCTTTGAAATCATAGAGGGGTGACCCTCTCACCCCTCATTTTCTGTACTAGCATCATTGGCTTTCCAAAGGGGCTCTATTTTGCATGCATTGAAGTCACTTTTTGGGGCCAATTTTGTGGGTTTTAAGGTCTGCCTTAGGTCTGTCCAGGGCCCTTTTGATCTTATTTTATGTCTATAGTGCATGTGTAGAACAATTCCATTCAAGGCCTTTTGAGGGGGCCTTTCATCGTATGCTTCCTTGACTAATTTCAGGGCCATTTTTGTGAGTTTTAGGGCTGTCATAACTCATTTCCAAAGTTGGTTTGGCCATGCTAAGTGTCTATGTTATATGTGCTTAACAACCCCTTGAATGGCCTTCCAAAGAAGCCCCTCATTTTTGCATGCATTGGTTGCATTTCAGTGATTATTTAGGCATATTTTGGCATGTTTTATTCACTATTTTTGGCTGGTTTGATGAGTTCTCATTTGCTTCATATACATGCCATATAACCCATACTTACTAGCCAATGTTGCATGCTATTTTAGTCCATCATGTTAGCATCTTTTGGCCATACTTTAAACTGGAAATGTACATGTTTTGGGACTGCCTTGGCTCTGTCTTTAGACTTCATGATCAAACAATGCTTACTTTGTATACTTGTGGTTCAATGCATTGGACTAGTTTTGAGTTTCGGGGCTTATTCCATGCATCGGGTGCCATATTTCCATGTTTCGCTCCTAGGAATGCAGATTGAGCTTCACCAATTATAGCTGGCATTACCTTTTTTAGTCTACTTGCAAGGACCTTGGTGAGTATTTTGTAAGCTGACCCAATGTGGCTGATTGGCCTATATTCATTTAGATTAGTTGCATTCACTTTCTTTGGAATAAGTGTGATGAAAGAGCTATTCAACCCATTGGCCAAGCTGCCCATCACATGGAAATCTGACATAAAAAGCAGCACATCATCTTTGAGCACCTCCCAGTGTTTTTGAAAAAACATTAAGTTGAAGCCATCTGGACCTAGATCTTTGTTGCCATTACAAAGTTTGACAGCTTCCCAAACCTCGTGAACATTCACATTATTATAACCTGGTAGCAGATGTGAACATTCACATTATTATAACCTGGTAGCAGATGTGAACATTCACATTATTATAACCTGGTAGCAGATGTGAACATTCACATTATTATAACCTGGTAGCAGATGTGAACATTCACATTATTATAACCTGGTAGCAGATGTGAACATTCACATTATTATAACCTGGTAGCAGATGTGAACATTCACATTATTATAACCTGGTAGCAGATGTGAACATTCACATTATTATAACCTGGTAGCAGATGTGAACATTCACATTATTATAACCTGGTAGCAGATGTGAACATTCACATTATTATAACCTGGTAGCAGATGTGAACATTCACATTATTATAACCTGGTAGCAGATGTGAACATTCACATTATTATAACCTGGTAGCAGATGTGAACATTCACATTATTATAACCTGGTAGCAGATGTGAACATTCACATTATTATAACCTGGTAGCAGATGTGAACATTCACATTATTATAACCTGGTAGCAGATGTGAACATTCACATTATTATAACCTGGTAGCAGATGTGAACATTCACATTATTATAACCTGGTAGCAGATGTGAACATTCACATTATTATAACCTGGTAGCAGATGTGAACATTCACATTATTATAACCTGGTAGCAGATGTGAACATTCACATTATTATAACCTGGTAGCAGATGTGAACATTCACATTATTATAACCTGGTAGCAGATGTGAACATTCACATTATTATAACCTGGTAGCAGATGTGAACATTCACATTATTATAACCTGGTAGCAGATGTGAACATTCACATTATTATAACCTGGTAGCAGATGTGAACATTCACATTATTATAACCTGGTAGCAGATGTGAACATTCACATTATTATAACCTGGTAGCAGATGTGAACATTCACATTATTATAACCTGGTAGCAGATGTGAACATTCACATTATTATACCCTGATGTGAATGTTCACATCTGTTAGTGTGAGTAATGCTACTGATGTGAATGTTTCTATCACTCAAATGGTGGACAAAATTCGTACTCAGTTGATGCGGCAAATGTCTGCACGGCGTGACCAAGCAAACAAATGGAATGAGATTATTTGTCCGACATTCGAAACAAGGCTTATGGATTCGTTCAATGACAGCAAGTCTTGGCAAGTTAGCAAAGCCAACGAGGATGTGTTTGAAGTTCATTCGATACCATCTGTTACAGTTGATGTTGCGAGGCGTACATGTTCTTGCTTCAAATGGCAAATCAACGGATTCCCATGTGACCATGCTGTTATTGCCATTCAAAAGAGCCGCTACAATCTCAATGATTGTGTAGAACATTACTTTCATGTAGAGACATATCGTGCAGCCTATTCGGGAGCCATATTCCTTATACCATCGGTGGAGAAGCCGCCTTTTGATCCCACAGACTTCACTATATACCCGCCAACCGTGAAAAGACCACCCGGAAGGCCGAAGAAGAATAGGATCCCATCAAGGGGTAAGAAACTGAAGCAAATAAGGTGCGGAAGATGTGATAAGTTGGGGAGCCATAATCGAAAATCATGCACGGAGCCGATATAAGATGTACATTTTTTCATTTCAACATTGTATTTTACATTGGATTCTTATATTCATTTTTGAAATAAGATTGTGTTGTGTTGGCAAACATTGGGTTGCAATAAGATTACGTTGCGTTGGCAAACATAATAATGCATTAGTATTTGATTTGTGTTTTATTTTTACTTTTTTAAGGTACCAATCTGACATTTATGTTGGTTGTGTTTTGGATGAATGCATGCTGTTAACATTCACACTTATGTAATATAATCACATTATGTGAATGGTCACATTGTTCAACTTTCAAACATTTCTGTGGTGGGAATGTTCACATTGTTGTTACTGTTAACAGCAATGTTTACATTAATGTAAACATTCGCATCATCAACTAATAAGATGTGAATATTCATGACATCATTGTTGCCATTCGCATAATCAGAAGTTATGATGTGAATATTCACATCATCAAATTATTAGATGTGAATATTGACTTGTGTTAAGAAATATCATACTCACACCTGTCATATTGTGTTACATAAACACTTTAAGCAATAGTCACATCCATGTAGTATGGTTTAAAATAGAAGAAAGTGTACGATCATTCTGTGATGTGAACATTGACATCATGGTCATGTGTATCCAAAAAAAAAAAAAGAAAATACAATCTCAATGTGCATGACCAATGCAAAATAGGCCTGAAAATGCATATACATATATTAACTGAAAAATATCTGTACAAGCAGTGATATAGACTTGATTTACAATTACGCTAGTCTGCTCCAATATGAAAAATCTATTGAAACTAAATTGTCTTAAATGTGGATAACAGATTTGGGTAACAGTGATAAGTGGACACCCCCCACCTATAGGTTTTCACATTGCACTGTCTTTCTGTGGTTCAGAAAAAGGTGTACTAATGAGTCTCTTATTTGACACCATTCAAAGCGATCTAGGCTGGCAACAATGTCTTCACGATATACATGCGCCCTCATGATGTAACAAACTGCAGGCCCACAATCCACCCTGAAAATGCAAACTTCTTGTTAGATTTTGAAATTTAGGTGGGTAATGGTTGTGGAACATGTGTAGAAATCGATTTTAGGCTTACGAATTTGATGCTTGCTGAGGACAGATGTCCACTGATATGATTGTTTTTGAAGTATTTTGGCTTGATAAATTGGTCCATAATGGTGATGATGGTCCAATGTTGTGCACCAAAGCTGTGATGTAGTCCCTCTGCTAACAATGAAATTTCATATTAGGCACCAACCAACATAGGGCATACGTCCAAGTTCAAATATTACACATCACGACAAGTATTATTTTTGTCAGCCACTTACCAATATTTGTGCTTTGTCAATATGTGGGTCATGTATGTCTTCTCTTGGGCGCAGTGAGTTATAATGCCTCCATACACTCTTTTACGCCGTACACAACAATTGTCCAGTGAAAGTTGTCGTGTATTGGGAAGATTAAGAATCTCTGGCCTTGATACTCCTTGATGTGTACATCAATTAGTTTATTCCTCTTGGGGGGGTACTGTTGCATGATTTTCTGCACACAAAGGGCATAAAATGATGTACCAAGTATTTATATCAATGTTTGGTGTTACTGATTTGAATGTTCATCTGCTAATGGGGAGTTATGTTACTGATGTGAATGTTCACATTTCGTAATAGTGAGTGAATGACATTGATGTGAATGTTCACATCAATAACATCAAATGGAACACATTTCGTATTGGTGAGTGCTACTACTGATGTGAATGTTCACATTTCCTAATGGTGAGTGATACTACTGATGTGAATGTTCACATCTGTTAATGTCAGTGATATTACTGGTGTGAATGTTCCCATTTGCTAATGGTGGGTGACGTTACTGATGTGAATGTTCACATCTGTTAGTGTGAGTAATGCTACTGATGTGAATGTTCACATCTGTTAATGTCAGTGCTATTATTGATGTGAATGTTTCCATTTGCTAATGGTGGGTGATGTTACTGATGTGAATGTTCACATCTGTTAATGTGAGTAATACTGCTGATGTGAATGTTCACATCTGTTAATGCCAGTTATATTACTGATGTGAATGTTCACATGTGTGTATCATTTAAGTTTATCAACATAATAAGCATATAATCTTCAATGCGAATGATGTTAATGTTCACATCTGTCAATGTGAATCTTCTCAAAGGTCATTTTATGTTGTTGTTAACATTCACATCTGCCTATTATTTAAGTTAACAATGTAAGCATGTAATGCTGAGAAGAACATCCACATATATTGAAACATAATCAAAATTAAAGTCTAGTGGTTACCAAACATGTGCTTGTAAAGATGAATGATGAATCTTTCAAACTTGGGTTGACTAGCCCTTGTAGTTCAAGTAGAATTTCACCATAAGCATCTATCACCTGCAGAACCGGAGGGGTGGCAGTACATTATTTACAGTGTCTTTACTCTGTGTTTGTGAGTGTGTGTGTGTGTGTGTGTTTTGTACACATTTACAGTTGCCATACGTTGTTGGTTATTGATTCTTCCTTGATGATGTGTATAATGTCATCAAAATACACATCTTTAGTCTTTGAGTCCCCTCGCCACACTAGCAACCTGTGCATTGTGATTACAGAAAATGTTAATGTCAACATTGCACATTTATGAAATGATCTAATTTATTAAGTATGTATGTGAACTGAACATGATGGAAAAAAAAAAAAAACAGTTGGGGATATGTAAGATCACTTACTCAGCACCGCCGTTCTTGTGCAAATTTTGGACTTTTTGCTTGTTGAGTTTGTTCACGTTAGCCCAGACCTTCAGTTTGTTGTTCAATGTTAACTTCTTGGACTTTGTTGGCTGCTTTTTTGGTGGTTGCTTGTGATTGCTCTTCGGCTCACTTTTTCCCTTTCTTTTGACCAGGCAAGTTGGGGTATTCAAACTCATTCAACCGGTGCTCTTTCCTTACCTTCTGATTGATGCGCTTTACCCTCGATGGTGGGTTGATAATGTGTTCCAATGCTGCAGTGGGATGCTTCTTAAGGCTGTCATGTGCCTTTTGTGCTTCAACTTGAGTGATAATGTGGACGAACTGATCGTCAAAAAGGTCTTGAAGAATTGTTTTTTCACATTCCAAGTTGATGACCAACTTTGTCAGCCACTGAATTTCTGTATCTTTCCACTCCATGCAATTCTTCATGTCCATGTCCATATTGGATGGGCCCGACTGGT